AATAATTTGACCACATTTGCAAATAACTTTTTTAGCATTGACAAATTCTTGAAAGTTAGGGTATGTAGTAAAATGTCATTGGCGTGAATCATAAGGAATTCTTTTACTATTTTTAGTTTGAATTTTCATTTTTTTTTTATTAATAATGCGAATTATAGTGTAACCGATGACATTTTTCATTTCTCTATCACTATTACTATGTTTGCGAATTCAGTGTAACCGAGGACATTTTTTCCTTCGAATTATAAAGGCGGTGACCTTTTCCATTTTCCATTAATCGAATCTATAGTGAGGCGGTCACATTTTTTTTTTAAAGTACTTTCGAATCATAGTGTTGGCGGTCACATTCAATAGAGTTTTCCCGGTCCTGATGGCCCGGTATTTATCATTGTCTTTTTATTTTTTTAAAATTTTTACGAAACAACTAATCTCTTCTTTATATGATAATAGACATCTAAAAATATAAATATCCTTAATGGTAGTATTAGATTACATAATTTTGGATCATTTAAACGATTAATTCGCTCAAATCAACAACATTTCTCACATTATTTCAAATCGATACAATATTTGGATTTAAAAAATTCAGAAAAACAATGTTTTATAGAAGAACAAAAAAAAGCAGATACTTATAGTCTTGGTATATTATTTTGGGAAATTTCAAGTGGAAAAATCCCCTTTGAAAATAAATATATCGAAGAACCATGTAAATTATGCTACATGATTATTTTATGAAAATGGGAAAGCAAAGAATATCAGTAAAACGAAATGTCATTATTCATATAAATCATGTGGATATCACGTGATTATAATTTAATTAGCTTCCGACTTATTAATTTAATCCTTGCTCCATTATAAATTCTTGCTGTTGTTGTGTATAAACAAGGAGATTTTACAACTTTATAATGGATTCTCCTTAGTCTTAATATGAATAATAATATTCTACACTTCTTCTTCTTCTTTATTTAAGACAAGAGCAGCAAATTTTTCTAATCCAGGCATCGCTTCAGCTTCATGATTGTATTCATAATTAATACAACTTTCAATTTCTAGTGGTTCAATTATTAGATTTGCAATTTTAATTCATCACTATCTCACCATATTCATAATTATGTAAATCATCTTTTGATAAAATGCTAACCTTTTCCCAAGAATGCGCTTTTAACATTTCCCAAGCTTTCTATACAAGTTGATTGCATCATAAATGGTAATTTTTTGAAATACAATTTTTTATTTTCGGTTATTTATAAAATCCATACATATCAACATGATTTTGGCAAATAGGCTTTCTATACACAGTGAAATTCGATTTAGCGGATAATTTCGGCCACTTACACTTAGTAAAAAATTTTCAAAAATCCGTTAAATCGAGATTTAATTAGTACATCCGTTATATCGAGAAATTTACTATATAAAAATGCAGCCCAGTTCTGAGCCTCAATCCGTTAAATCGAGATTTTTATTAGACGTCCGCTAAATCGAAATCCGCTAAATCGAGTTTCACTGTGTAGTAGTATTTAAATGACTAAACTATTCCAGTATCAAGGGGCTGGATGATGTTGGCAAGAAGAAGTATAACATTCGACAAGTTTAAATCTTCTCCTACATGTGATGAATGAAGCATTGTCAAATAACATGTATGAAAAATTGTTTTTTCTTTTTTCAGCAATAATATATACTGGAATCTTTGTCAATTTACTTAAGAGCATGAGGATTTTCATAGGTTTTTTACCTTTAGAATTACAAGCTAACATAACAGAAACTCTCTTTGTACTAGAGATTCCATCATGAGCTAAAGTCTTTGATGGCTCAAGTTTCCAGAAAAGTGTATACGGATTTTATGAAGTTCTTTATGATATTGTGGTAATAGTTCAGATGCTGATTACCTTGTTTACTCAGCAAATAAATATGATATCGATGTTTGAAATGACAAAATCATCCTTCATTACCTTTAAAAACTATTTATGTTCATAATTTTAGCCAGCGCTTGAGTATTTATTTTATGAGTATATTCTGAATTGTAAGGTTATACTTTATAATTTCATCAAATCAAATTGCGGACAATTTGCTTGCCTATTCTTTTTAAATTAGGAAGTTGTAAGAGTTTCATCAATAGAGAGCCATTTTATTTGATTCTGATAAAATTGCTGAAACTGTGCTTCGACCAACTTTAAAATCTTTACTTGGGTTAAGTCATGATCGTTTTTTAGCACTCAAGAGGTTCGTTTTTTTTTGGATGAAGAAGATGCAGCAGAGGTTGAACTCATTTTATCTCCAGTTGGGAGTAACAAAGGTAGATAGGTTTTGATTAGCTCAAAGAAAGAAATTTTCTAATCGATTAAACTAAACAATCAGCTATTTATTGATAAATAATTGAAACGATCAAATGTTTATTTAAAAGTATAAATTATTATAACACCTGTCTACAAAACCAAAAAAATTTTAACGTTAAAACAAGTTTTGTCATTTAACATAATTCGTAATAGCGATGGAATTGTTGGTGAAAGTTAAAAGATGAAAAAAAAAATATAAAGTAATATTAATATGATTGAAAATTTTGGTGATACATTTAAATAATATTTCTAAACAAAGTATTATCGTTTAAAGATGGAAGCAATTGAATTGTTGAACAAATTAAAACTATTGATTGAATCAATTTATCCAAGATATGATTTATTATGTAAACCAATTTATGAAGTTCATTCTTGTGATAAACAATTGAGAATTAATAAGATTTTAAATGAATTACTTGGGACATTAAAATTAATAGAAAATTGCACTGATTGTAATAAAGGAGTAATAAAATATGGTTATTGTATGATTGATTGATTTCTTGAATAAACCAATTGATACATTAAAACAACTTTCAAATAGATTAAAAGAAAATGAGGAAGAAGAAAGTATAAAATTAATTAAAGAATCATATCACCATTTAATTAAAAACAGATGTTGGATTGAATAGAAATATATTATGCGATGATTGTAAAGAAAGGGTAATTGAAAACTTAGCAGCTGATTATGGAAATAAAGAAGTAGCCAATTTTTTTATGAATGTAAAATGAGTATATTTTGTGATGTTGAATGGATTCCCTTCAATGAATTCGAAAATATTGAATATTTAGGTAAAGGTGGTTTTGGTGAAGTTCATAAAGCGAGATGGATTTACTATAACTATACGTTAAATGATAATCTGGAAACAAATGTGGCATTAAAAAGATTATATAACTCAAATGATAATATTTTAAAAGAGGTAAAACCTTTTAATATTAATCTTTATAAATATTGTTTGTTAATTATATTTATAATTTTTAGTTAGTGTAATGGGTCTTTTTGTCAACAAATGCTTTGGAATTACAAAAGATCCAAGCATAAATGATATACATAATTATTTATCAAAAAATTCCAAGGAAATTACTTGGGAAGAGAAAATTTATTCAGTTTATAGTATTTCAGATGGGTAAGTTTAAATTTTATTATTAAATTAAATTTTTTTTATAAAATTAACTTTATACATTTTATTATTATTATTAAAAAACATTAGATTAAAGTTTATAATCATGTTCATTGTGACTTGCACAGTGGCAATATTTTTTCTCATTATTATTATAATAATAATTTTGGTGCTTTTAATGTAATATATAGGAGATTTAGGATTATGTCAAAAAATTAATAGGTAAAGATGAGAATCCAAAAGAGATCTTTGGGGTCATTCCATACCTGGAACCTGAAGTATTATCAGGCAAATAATATACAAAAGAATCAGACACATATAGTTTTGGGATGATTATGTGGGAATTCACCACGGGTAAAAAGCCTTTTTATAATGTGCCACATGATCATCATCTGATAATGGATATTCTGGGGGGAATGAGACCTAAAATCACCAAGGACACTCCTGAATTCTATGTTGAATTAATGAAAAAATGATGGGATTCAAATCCAAAAAATAGACCAACTGCTATTGAACTTAAGGAATGTCGTTCTATGGCTAGGAGAGAGATCATTGAATTAGCAGAATCAAAACGCCAAGAGATGAAAAATAACTTTCAGGAGCAAAGAATTATCAACATCATGTAGGTGCATTCTATACAAGCGTCCACTTAGTGAATTAATTGACCGGACTAAATTACAAAATAAATTGGCCAACAATCTACTATATATCAACAGATTATTATGATGATGATGATGATAATTCATCCGATAACAAAATTCAACCAAATACTTTAATTGAATATGATTCAGTATTTATGCCAATGCATATGAAATGAAAATGATGGCAATGATGATAATGATGATGCTGATGTTAATGTTAATGGCGTTGATATTGGTAATGATAAAAGAAACGATCAAAAATGCTTTTTTAAATAATAAAGTTTATAGTTTTATTATGATCTCTCTAAAAAAATTTATTCAATATACAATAATAAATTAAATTATAAAATAAACAAACAAATAAATAAATAAATAAATTAAATTAATTAATATACAAAATAATCTATAATATATATATATATAATCGTGATTTGTGACAGGTTAGTTAACCAAAGTGATTTTGTTTTCTATTATTACAAGACTTTCAAAATGATTGTTAATTTGCTCCCTTATTTTTTTTTCACCACTTTGTTTTTGATCTTGTCGTAGAAGATCTGCGGCAATTTCTTTTCCATTGATTAATTCATAGTCGCTATCGTCATCATAGTTGGTTGAATTTTTATTTTTAAGCATTCTGTTAATATCTTGTACAAGATGAATTGCTCTTTTGAATCTATCTTTGGCCGACAAATTACTTTTGACCTTTTCAAGAATATCGATTTTGTTAGCTGATTCGAACCAAGGATGTTTCAATGCTTCGTGGACTGTTATTCTTTTATGAGGCTCATATGTTAACAATTTATCTATTAAATCCTTTGCTATGAATTTTTTATAAAAATTAAAAAAAGAGTGTTTTAGTAACATATCAATGATTTTTTCATTAATTTTTTTTAATATCAATAATGAACTTTTTCTTCAAATTACCTAAATCCGATATTTCTGACCAATATTCTTCTTCGTATTCATATTCACCTGACATGATGGATTCAAATAAAGCCGGTTGATCTTCACCCCAAAATGGTGTATAACCACATAACATTGTATACATTATCACACCTATACTCCAAATATCAACAGGCTTGCCATATCCAGCTTGCAATAAAACTTCTGGTGCAATATAACTATTCGTAAAAAATATATATATATATATTTATAAGAAAAAAAAATTTTTTTTTTGTGGAATTAAAATAATCAATTGCATATTGACAACTCACCCAGGTGTTCCACATGCCGTTAACAGTACATCATCTTCACTCTTTAAAATCTTTGATAAACCAAAATCTGTTATCATTATATCTGCTTCATCTGATTTATCTTTAAATAATAAATTTTCGGGCTTTAAATCTCTGTGAACTATATCCAAATCGTGTAAATATTGAACACCTTCAAGTAATTGTTTCAACAGATTTGCAGCATCTTCTTCAGTATATGAACCTTTGAGTAATAATTGATTAAACAATTCTCCGCCAGACGCCAAGTCTGTTATGATATACACTCCATCCTTAGTCTCGTATAAATCGTGTAAAGATGTTATATATTTATGATGAACTTTTTTTAGTATGTCAAGTTCAATAGGAAGCATTTTTTCCTTTCCTAATATATTAAAATAATTTATTAATTATTTATTTATTTCCAACTTCTAATAAACAAAATTAAAAATTGATACTAACCTTTTATCGATTCCTTCAAGATTATTTTTAATGCGTAATTTTTATTGGATCGTTTTTCTGTACATTCTTTTACAACAGCAAAAGAACCTTTACCGAGTATTTTATCTGATACTATGTATTTGTTTTCTAATTCACGAGGAAATCGGATCTCTCCATCAGCGTGCTTTTTAAAAAATAAATCAAACATTTTGTGCATTTTCTCTTTAAATTCAATAATAAAATGTGAATTAAAATTATTTATTGTGCAAAAATAACGGATTTAAAAATTATTTTATTGTGCAAAAGTAGTGAATTACAAGTAATTTTATTATAATTGTATTATAGATTATTATATAATTTCAATTTAGTTTTTTTTTTTTTTTTTTGGAAAAATTATTTTTTTTTGGAATTTGGAAATTTATTTGTTGTATTTATATACAAACATCAAAGGATTGGATGCATGCGTAAATATTTTGGAAAATTCTTATTGTAAAATGAAGTACGACACATAATTAACCACAACATTCTATTTTAAGTAAAAATTTTAATTCAGCATATTTCCGGTTAGTACAATTCAAGACTTAGTAATAGAACCATGGAAGCTGTGCTTTTTTTTATTGAATCATGACACAATCGAACTACGTTTAATAAAAATCACCCTTAACGATCTCTGCTCCCTTTTCATATGTAAGTAACTATATGATATGCCATATTATTTCATCATCAATGATAAAGATGGATTAGTTTTAAAATGCAAATGTATGCTCATATACCATTTAGTATAAGGTTTGTAGTAGTAATGATCTAGTTTCATTCGAATCCAAGAGAAAAAGATTTTTTCCCTGGATGAATAAATGGATCATTGAAAAATTACTCCAATTGGCAATGCATGAATGCATACTTTATTCATTCAACACGAATACATATACATATATATATATATATAAAAGAAATTCAATTTCTAAATTCTTTAAATATTTTATTTGTTTAAAATCCTGCTATAAATAAAATATAAATGAACAGAGGAATTGGAAGAAAAAAAATTAGTCATTGTAAATTAAATTCAAATTTGCCCCTTAAATTAGATTAGTGTAATGGATCTTTACTATTATTATCATTCATTTATTGATCGTGTAACTATCTATATATATACTTGTGAAAAATTTCATTTTTAAAATAATCCATCATCTGATCTCAAATGATGAATCCGCAGATTTTGCGTAAAATGCACATGTGCTTAAAATAGTTAGACTCGGTTTTTACTTATTGTCAAAGTAATAGTAATTCGTATTGGAAGAATTCGAAAGAAATAAAATATTTTCATTATTTAATTGTTTATTACACCAACTACAAAAAAAAAGTATAATGAACTTATGCTTGTATAAAATTCAATTATAAGCTCTTTTGCTCTAAATATCGCGAGTTTTTTGGTGGTAAATGTGATGATTATTGAACGAGTTTCATGTACTAATTAATTCATTAGACAAAAAAGAAATGTAATCATTAGTGTTAAATGATATATCAAACATGTCAATGTGTATAAACTTTCAACCAACATTCTATAAATATATTATTTATAGATGCAAAGTATTTATTTATTTTTTTCTTTTAATTTATAGTCTTTATACCAACAATGTTTCTGATGAATTGGTTTTAATAGTAACAAATAAAATTATACAGCTAACACTAGCGAATTCATTTTTATAATAATAATTTTATTAAAAGTTTTTAGTAATGCTGCATCAGTCAACCACCGAGAAGGCTCGCCATGGTTTGTAAAATATGAGCTGTTTAAAAATAATTTGAGATTCTATACGAAATTTTGATTTTTTTTTCAAATTTGCTGCTACAATTCGTACAATTCATCATGATAAATTAAAATAAAACTTAATATATAGATACGATATTATTTTCCCAACAAAACCGTTTTTGAAGAATTTTCATGAGGTGATTATAATTATTATAAATCATAAAATCATAAAGCTCTTTGCAAGTTGGCTCAAGTGTATTTTTATAAAATAATAAACAGTTAAAGAAAAAATATTAAAATTACAACATATAATAATAATTAATCCATTTCTACAATCATATTTTATCACTCACCACCGCCTGCTAAATGTATTGGAATGAAGCTTATTTACCAATAGAATTTGAGATAAATATGCCATGAGCATTGCACTATACTGTTGAGCTGATTCATCCGACAAAAGATTTAATGATTAAGCTTGCCGAATTGATTCATTTAGTGGTCCGCTTGTATATACTGATTCCGAGTGGCGTTTATGATTTTCTGTATCTGACAAGTATTTTCTGAATTGATGATCCCTTGTTGTTTAGCTTCTGATAATTTGATCATCTCCTTTCCTTTTTCAGATGGATCCAACGTGTTGAGAATAGTATTGTCTGTGATTCGAGGTCTTTTTCCTTTTAAAATATCAGTACAAACAAGACAATGACTAGATGGTCTATCATTGAATGGATTTTTTCTGTAGCGAGCCCCCCGCGTTATTATTATACCAAAACTGTAAATGTCTGATTCTTTCATACATGGTTTTTGATAATGCTTCAGGTTCCAGGTATGGTATTACTCCAACGATTATATATAGTTGGTTATCTTTATCATTTATGATTTATTGGCATAAACCTCCTATTACACTACTACGGGAAAACCACACGAAAAAATATTTCCATTATGCAAGTCACAATGAATGTAATTCTCTTCTTTAATCTAATTACGTTGGTAACAAAAAAAAAATAAATATAATTATTTACTGTATATTTATTTATTAAATAAATTTAACAAATAAATAGTCAAATACCAATAGATAATCATTGGTCAAATTCATTATTTGGCTTTTTAACTAAAAAAATAAGAAAATATAAATTATAATATTTTACCTCGGAAATTTTATTACTAGAATCATGCAAGTTTTCTAATACAACATCTTTCACTCCATCAAATTCGCCACAACAGTTAATTCCATGTTGCTTTATGAACTTCCCCAAAACTGCCTTTAGCTAAATATACAATATTTTTAAATTCATTGAATGGAATCCTCCCATCTAAATAAATAGTTGCGCCTTTTTACATTCATAAAGAAATTTAGCTATTTCTTTATTTCCAGATTATCATTTAGTTTTTTAAAAGAATTTTTTTGGAATCATCATATAATTTGATCATCATCAATTGATTAATTATTTCTTCCTTTTCCCATTTTTAAATAGACCAAGGAATTTTTTAGTTCATCCGTCGATTCATTAAGAAAATCAGAACAGTTCTTTTCTATAAATTCTTTACAACCGGTACAGTTTTCTATTAATTTTAATGAAACAAATGTGATCCATTTAATAAAATATTAACGCCATTTTCATATTCTCATATCTCTGGATAACTTTAGCGCAATTATCATCATTATATAATAGCAATAAAAAGTTTAGTAATAATTTGCGCATCTACTTTAAACCGTTAATTGCCGAATATTTTTCCTTTGGATGTTGTGTATGTTAAATAAAAACATAGACTAAGTTTTCGTTGCTTTGAATTTTTAAAAGTAAAAAAAAAATATTTGTTTTGGCACGTAAAGAACATCGTTTTAATTTCAACGGAAAAGATTTTCAAACCCGGCGGATAAATAAGCAAATAGCATACTAATATACTTTTTTGATGTAATAGTATTTATAAAGTTTGTAACTATTCCTTTTTAAAACAAACCAAAAATCAAGCAAATTATAAAACGTGTTAATTTAATTTCATCACCTTCAACATAAAGATTTACTTGGCTTGTTTGATGATTTGTAATTAACATCAAGAGCGTCTATCAACAGTAGCTTTGGCAAGCATTACATCACCTGTACATAGGTAAACTCGATAAGTCAGCCGCGAATGGCTGAGCATGTTTGGCTGACTTGTCGAGAGAACCGACTTATCGAGACCGTATTACAGAGAGAGCACGTGACATAAAAATTTTTTGTGTTAAAAATTTTATTATTATAAATAAAAATTACAAAATAAATAATAAACAGATAAAATATTGCCGGCTAATATTTCCTCCGCTGTCGTTAAATCTTGAAAAAAAAATTTTTTTTATTCTAAATAAATAAATTATAAATAGTTTTTAAAATAATAATTATTTATATTTACATATTTCCGAACACAATAAACATAATAAAAATAAATAAATGTATTTCCACAATGCAAACAAGAATATTCTTTCTAAATTATCAGACAATAAATTATACAATCAATGATATAATCTGATGATACAAAAATGAAGTAATAATTATAAAATATCGCGACAAGAATTTCTATAAATAAATAAAAAAATTCATACGTTATTAATGATCTTTTATTTAATGAAAATGTCACGTGAGACTGATTTATCGAGAACAATTTACTTATCCTAAAAAGAGGGGTTGGCTGACTTATCAAGGGATTTTAAATAGGGAAAAAAAGGGTTGAAAGATTTTGGCTGAGTTAGGCCAAAACCGACTTATCGAGTCTATCTATGTAATTGCACTTTTGTTTTAAATTGCTTGATTGAATCACATCATCAATGTACTACTTTCAAGATCAGGATGCTTCGGTGCCTTATCATTTTGTTTGATGCTAATATCATTAAAATTGATGGATCGCCATCTATTTTATCTTTTAAAACGTTGCAAACAGTATTTTCTGCTAGAGTTCCGAACGGGTCAGGTACGGATATCCGTGTCAAATGTTAATATATTAATATAGTATTACCTAGCATAGTTTATTAAAATTTAAATGTGTGTATAAAAAAAAAAACCAAAATCGTAAAATAACTGAATTTAAAAATAATAAAATTGTTTCATGGTTTAGTAATGTTCTTCAAGCAATTCTTCGAGTACATGCTCGAATTATTTCTTTCTTCAAGTGGTAACATCTAATTTTTTTTTGTAATTAGGTTACCACCACCTGAAATTTTCCTTTCAACTGACTAATGAATGAATGAGTGAATACTTTTAAAATATATTTAGAAAAAAATTATTTGCGTATTAGTTTTTCATATCCCATTTTCACAGCAGCTACTATTTCTATTGATTAATTATTATCAACATATATATTTTTTTCTAAATGTTCAATAAATCATATTTCTTATAAATGAATATTTAAGTAAAAGTTCATACGCCAATTTGTGTTTTAAATCCAAGAAATAGACAGCCGTATAATTAAAAGAAATGATTGACTGTGTTTGTTAAATTGTTATGTAACATGCCAAGTTTTATATTACACTAAAATTTATCATATTAATATTAATATAAACTTTTAAATACTCCGTTATTTCTAATTGATAAATGTGCCCCGAGATTTTATATTGTAATTCCCTGGTTGATAAATGATCTGCGAATTAAGGATATTCACGCTTCCAAATCTTCAGCACATTAATTTCGGATAAACTGAAAATTTTCGGTTCGGTTCGGTTCGGTTTATTATTATTATTGTTATTATTATACTAATACCAAATTTATGACCTGGCACGTTCGGAGCTCTATTTTCTACAGTTCCTTTTATATGCGAATGGTGGATTTCTTTGATAAAATTCACTCAAGTTAAATAAAATTTCTCTTTTTTTTGTTAAAATATCACGAAAATAATTTTTACCTGAAATAATTTTTTTTTAAAAAAAAACCATTTCTTAGTCCTTTTAAATTCAACAATAATAAATGATTACAATCAATGCAATTGGTTTTGTTTTTCGCTAAATTCAATTAAATTCAATTTTTTAATATTAATTTAAGAAATTATTGCATCAAGCCGAATTTATATGAAAACTTCAACTTTATATACGATTCACTGTATGGTAGATTCACTATATCAAACGCCGACTGTACTCAATTAATATATTAATATTAATATTAATTTAATATTCGACTTCAATGAAAAAAGGGCACTGTGTTGCCATCCTTTTCAAGGATTTTTTATTTATGTTGTATGTGAAATTGAAATTATGTGAAATTGAAATATTATGGAGTGGGGTGAAATTCTGATTGGCTAATTTGAATTTCACACATGTAAATTTGAATTTCACATATGTGAATTGCGAATTCACATAATTTCATTTTCACGTACAACATATGTATACAGTACTGGTCCTGTGGCTGAATATAAAAGACCTTCTTAATTTGGAAGTGCCACCTATGATGTGCGTGAACCTTTGCTAATTCAAGTTCTATATATAAAAATCATGCAGATCATAGGTGCCACTTCCAAATTAGGAAGATCCTGTATATGGGGCATGCTTGCAACAAAACCAGACAAAGTGAACGTTTTGCCACATGAACCAAATACAAAATGGTTGATGTAATTTCGACCAGTGTGACTGATGACATTTTGGAAAGACTTTGCTCTAGTGGTACAGCTGTGGCTCATGGACTAACTTTTATGGTTAATGTGAATGACATTTAAACACAAATCAAGACACGTTGAATCAAATGGCTTTAATCTGTCCTATATCATTCGGACCAAAAAGAAAGGGAAATAGTTGTTTATTTACAAAAAATTATTTTTGTATCTACTATTTGCTTTAGTGCTCTATAGAAAATTAAATCAATTTATGGTTTTTATTTGCTATCTGCTTGCCTTGCTGAATAATACAAGAATTAATGCCCTTAATATTATTATCATGCAATCAAATGTAGGGTTGTCTTTCAAAACTTCTGATTATTTTCTAAATGATTTCTAAACTACTTCTAAACTAGTTTCGAAGAGTTTCAAAAATTTCCTAAACTAATTTTTGAATTTCGAAGGCAACACTGATCAAGACATCATGTCACAAAAGGGTCAAATTTGATGATAATTCAGAATATGGCAAGCCAGGACTTGGTGAAGGTGGGAAATCATCATCATCATCAATACAAGTTTAAGCTCAATTTTACTTCGTAAAATTGAACTTATACCCGTACTACCCAGGGTTTAACTATTAATTAATATCTATTATTATAAATATAATAATTGCTCTAAAGCCTACATAATGATATTAATATGTTACAAAATTTTTATGTGGTAATTTAAGATCTTCTGATAAAATGTCAAAGCGTCATTTTTTTTCGCAACACTGTATCACATGACTGATGTTACATTAAAACAAACGCGAGTTGTAGAGTGTCCAGAAAAATGCATTTGCATAATTCTTGCATTTTTTAAAGAAAAAATGCATATCGCATAAATACCAAACTTTTGCATTTTTTTTGCATTATATCAATCTATATTTAGAAAGATTTACATCATTAAAAAAATATTCCCACAATGGTCTCAGCTCATGA